TTAGCTAGAAATTTGCTTAAAGTTTTCTCTGTCAAAAATTAAGATGTCTTTATGAACATTTTTCTTTTTCTGAAATATTTCAAATGAATGATATAGAATTGTATTCATAGTGAAAAACCTCCCATGGTTTATCAACTGTCTCCAACTGCAATTGGATACAGATCCATTTATAACTAAATTAAGCAGTCACATCTGGCCCTGGTCAGCTGTGACCCAAACTTTAGGGTTAACCAAAGCCGATTAGTTGCCTTTGTGAAATAAGTAGGTCTCAGTCAAGCCTTCTCAAAATTCCCATCCCGTCCCCATTGGTTTCAGCTAGGATCTGTGCGATGATTGACTGCTACTCATAAAGTTGCACTCTCTACCCTGAATGGAGGACAACAAAGATCACACTTAGCAGGACTGGCCTGTTGTTACTGGTTATAGCAGAGACAAACTTTTTCAATATTTTTGTCCAAATCTACTCTTTTGTTCAAGCAGAAATGTTTGAAGGCAGCATTATGATTTTGACAATGTTTTCAATGCGAGTATTTCTCAGGTCTGGGGTGGACTCTGTTTACTTCCAGGGATAGAGTGACAGACGGAGAGACAGAGAAAGAAAATGTGAGGCAGACAGACAAAGATAGATCACTTGAACTTTTCAAGCCTACAATCATCTCCAGACAATTCCCTTTCAAAAAAATCCTCAGAAAAGGTTTTGTTTTCATGCCAGTGCTGCAGAAAAGAAACAAGATGCTGAAATCTTAAAAGCTGTTGTAAAATGGAATTGTCATTTTGCAGCCAGCTATATTAGCAATCTGGACAGAGACATCAAGCTCAGACCAGATGTGGAAAGTTATCTATCCTCTTATACCTAGAGAGGGTCTCTCCAGGGTAGGCCTGAGATTTACAATGCTGTACTTCACATAGTTTGCATGTTTCACATTGAGAACTGTGGGAAATTTAAGATATTCAGTAATCCAGTTTTAAAGCACAGAAAGGAAGATCTGGATGTGTCAGGGCAGTCCTTGCTATAAAAGAAAAAGTATTTCAACAGGTGTGGCCTACTTTCCTCATAAAAAAGAGATTTTGTAGCTTAAATTTTCACTCACAGTGAAATCAATGAGATAGTCTGCACCTGTGAAAAGTCTTGACCTCAGTACTGTAGGACGATAAATAATAGAGCTGGCTGAACACTGGGGAAGTAGTTTGCTAATTTGTGTGTCCTTTTTGTTAGAAATTTTGAAATCAAACTTTTCAAGTAGCAAAAATAATCTCTTTCC